TCTCTACTTCTGGTGGGTCAATTTTGATCCTTTTTTAAAAGCAGTCATTTTGATTCTTGCTTCATTATAGGAGTGCGATGCATAATCTGTGGAGTACTCTTCTTCACACATGAGCTTAACCAGTGCTTTAAAATGTCCCTCCTGCATGGTTTCCTTGGAAAATAGTGTCAGAAATGCTTGACAGCAGAAGTATGACTTATTGTCAATGACATCTCCCTAAAGCAAATTTAGCAAAGCAGCACACCCCTGTTTCAGGTTGCTCTCCCTAAATGTATAATTTCAGTAACGTCCCCCACTATGATTTGGAGATGTCTGCATGGCTGATAGGATCAGTGAACTCTGGAGAGTGGGGTGATGACCTTCCACCTCATCCATCACCCGGTGATGGACATGGGAAGCCGGTCCTTGACAGGCTTGGGGGTATGCGGGGGTGGAGGGTACAAATGGGGTTAAGGATAGGGCTGGAGAGGGATCTCAGTTACCACAGCATGGTGGCTGGAAGAACAAGGGGGGAGGTGGGGAGAAAAGTGTGACCAGGATTGAGGTCAGGGATATATGATTGGGGTATTAGATGGACCACAGCTAGCCTGGTTAAATGTTTGTGTGGGGGACGAAGATGGATTATCTGACTGGTTGTTCATGTCTTACGTGTGACAAATAAACAAAAGTGCATTACGTCATTTTGCCAGAATCTTTCTTCCTTCAGTTTTTTTACAGTGCAGGACATGACTAATTTTGGTTCAGTTCTGAGGCTGACATTCGTGAAAGAGCCACCCAGACCAATACAAATGATGAATCTGGTAATCAGGAGCAGTGTCACTCCATTGTCCAAATCTTGCTGAGGTGTAATGAGTCTCCGAGGGCCACTTGTTTCTTACACCCACTGAAACGAGCACCAACGTCATCAATCTTCAGAGTGGCTGAAGTGAAGTTGACTTCTGTCTGAAGGTGCTCCCCTCTGTTGATTTCTTCTTGGGAGCTCGGTGGAGAGCCCACGTTCCCGTCACACACCGAGAAAGCGTGCACGCGAGAGAGAGCGGGGTGTGGTTGCACGCTGTGCGGACAATGAACACCAAACCTCCAACTGACACGACCAGTATTGAGTGAAACCAAGCCGCGAAGCAGGGATGCAGCACACACACACACACACACACGTCAGTGTGGAATGGGTTCAGTGACTTTTGACCCGGTGAGCCAAACGCCTGTCAACACCATATACTACCATCATTTTGTGCGTGACTGTGTGATCATATGTTTTCCTCTGTCTGACCTAAATGCAGTCATGTCTAGACACTTCTTTCTTTCTGCTGCTGCACTGGTATATATTGTGCACCTCATGTCAAAAGTTTGCTTTTCAGGAAGTTAAACAAGACTCCTTCCCTCTCCTGTCAGACAGTAGCTTCATGCTTGGCATAGTGAAACCAGGAACAGGCTGGGGTGAGCTGCCCAGTTCACTCTCACTCATAACTCTGTGGTTTCACTGTTTATTTTTTCTACGCTGGTTTTGATTTTATTTTTAACTGCAGTGTTCTGTTGTATTTAAGTATGTGTTGTTTTGCCAAAGCTGATGTCTTACTATGAAGCAAATAAGGAGGCTATCATGTCTTAATGTCTAGATCAGGCTAAGTCTCATTCTGTAAATAAGGATAAGCACTTGTTATAACCTGAAAACAACAGGGATTGACACAGATACTGTATATTATAATCTCATGGAAGATTTACCCTGATTGATCCTGTTGTTTCTGACTTTCTTCTTCTGTTCATCAAAATATTTACAACATATGGCTTTATAACGTATGGTGGCATGTGATCTGTTGCTACCGTTTCATGTTATGGTGCGGATCAGGCCAAACAACAAGCTGCCCTTGCCTGTCTTCTGCTGGCCAGAGCCTCAGTGGGATGGGCAGTTTGTGAAATGACAGGACATGCCAACAAATTGCATCACTTCTGCCTCTGTGGCCGAGGACAATGGGCCACCATATGCCGAAGTGGGGAAATGAATGGAGCTCATTTGTGCTGGCACCCTGAGCCCCCGCTCCCCCCGACCCTGCTGGGGCCTCCGTGGCACCGAGGCCGACACAGACAGACGAGCCCACCCTCTGCCACGCCGCCGTGCTGCTGTCCACCACACCATCCCATAAGCCAACACCAACAAATATGTTATTAGATTTGGTGTCTAGTGTTTGGTAATTAATAAAAAGGAGAAATTGTTGAGTTTTTTTGGTAACATTTCACTCAATAGGGCTGAGATGGCATGTTTCAAACTAAAATTTTACTTTAGCTGCAGGGACAAGTTTCTCTGATTATTGTTCAGGAACAGTTTTATTAATATGGAGCACATCACTTATTCTTTATGCAAAATTATTATGATATATATTTTTTTCATGGATGAATATGCAGGGTATGTCTGTAAAAGTAGCCTGTATGCAAGTTTGTGTTTATCTGTGCCTTTATTTGTGTGTGTGTGTGTGTGTGTGTGTGTGTGTGTGTGTGCATGTGTGTGTGTGTGTGTGTGTGTGTGTGTGCAGGCCTGGGATGATAGCAGATGATTAAGGAGTGGCTGCTCTGTTGACATGAGATACTAATGAGGATGAAATGAGAAGGTCAGGGCTCGTCTCCAGGAGGGGGACACCCCCCTCTCCTCCCACCACCACCACCACCGCCATCACCCCCACTTCCCTCCCCCCTTCTTTCTCTCCTCGTACCCCCTGGTCGCCTCCCTCCTCCTCAGGATGGACGGCTAATCCTCCTCTTAATCGGCACAGACCAGTACACACACACGTGTATACACACACAGACACCAACACACACGTATACACCGAGGCGCCTCTGATCAGGCACTCTGCATCTTCATAATGGAGGTAATTAGCAGCTCAACAAGGCTACCTCAGCATTATGATTAGCACCTCTTTTTGAGCTTGCTCTGAATCTGACCAGTCTGGCCTCTGCTGTCACTCCATTCTGCTCTGCGCTGCCAATAAAGCAGACATCAAAACATTTATTTCAGAGTAAGATTAATTATTTATAAAGGGAGATATAGATATATTTGTCTAATAATGACTTTATGTAGTAAAGGTTTTATTTTAGTCATTAACATTTCAGAGAGATCAAAGGTCTATAAGTCCCATTAGCAGCCACTGGAGGCTGTGTTGCTTTTTAACCCAGCTTAAGTGGTTTGACCCCAGCTGAGGTTGACAGCCCAAAACACTCAAAATATCACTTTTTAAAAACCAACAAGCCCTCAAACGTATATGACCACATAAGTCGTATGTTCATACCTTTCAATACAACCTACAGGTGTGTTTTCTAAACTAGCGCACCTATCTGTGGACAATAGAATAGCTCATTATGACCATTAATGGTCACAGTTTTAAACCACTTTGGGTCGCAGTTGCGCCAAAACTGCTTGGTTAGGTTTAGAAAAAACCCCACAATGGTTTGGTTTAAAAGAACTACATTTGTTGGTAAGGTAACGTCACGTGACATGCATCACGTGAAATTACTTATGTCACACACACCCACATTCTGCATTTGGTTGTTCAAGTTACTCTAAATTGACTTCTGGTTTTACACAGGACATGAACACTGGTCTCCTGGATGAAAGTCTGAAGCATGTTTAACCTGTCCCTCCCCCTCCCCCTCCCAGCTTGCTTCCCTTTCTTGCTCTTTATATTACATCACCTTACTTCCTCCTTTGCTCCCATAATAATTACTACGACCACTACAAGTCGCTGTCTAACAAAAAATGTATATATGGGTCAGAAGTTCTGCTTGTAAAAACTCCCTATGTGGTTGTGTTTTGGAAGACAACAGTCACTTAAAACCCCAATACAAAAGCACATACAATATGAGTAATGTTCACAATTTATTTAAAAGTCATGATCATGCTCAAAATGCTGTGTGTTTTGGATACTGTCCTATACGTAAAACCTAAATGGTTTCATTTGTAAGATTCTTTAACACAGGGCGTTTCTCATGAGTCATTTAACTGTTTCACTTCTGCTGGTGCAGGCTAGCTAAAAGAAAAACTAAAAGTGCTGTCAGTCATCAGCAAAATGGTGGATGACTTATGCAGTGACGGAGGGATGTAACGATAGAAAACCAGGCAAAGGTAGGAGTGATGGCCGTCCAGCGATGCAGCAAAGTGACCTGTGTGAGTGCAGGGGAGCTCTCATTATGAAGGTGTGAGGGTCTCCATCAGCATAGTGAACTGTTGACCCCGACAAGGGGAAGGAAGTGCTCGGCCAGCTGCGTGCCATTTTTCATCTCTCTGATAGACCTCAAAAGCGAGGCATGGGGGAGGGGGGAGGAGGGAGAGAGAGATGGGGGACAGAGGAGAGAGAGGGAAAGGGGGTGGGTCCAATATTAAAAAGAAGTTGGCCCCGTGAAGTGTGGCGAAGTGTTGGATGGAGGCCTCCTAAGCCGTGACCCCTGTGATTTTAAAGAGTGTCTCGCTCACCTCGTTAATCAAAGGCTGATGCGTATCACAGTGACCCCCCTCCCTCCTTCCACACCACCCAAACCCCACCTCAGCCAGGTCCTTACTGTCATTTTTCACAGGAGGTTCATGAGAAGATAAGGATCCTCAGGTTGCCAACCAGCAGTTCAAGAGAGGAAATGTCTTAGATTTGTGTGTGTGTGTGTGTGTGTGTGTGTGTGTGCTTGTGTGCACATCAATGAAAGGGGAAGGCCAGGGTCAAGACTGTAAGATGATGTTTTGCAACACTTTTATGTGTATGACACATTTGCTTAATGATGCTTTATATCAGCTCTCATTAAAAGGAAGTCAATTTCACACATCAGCGTCTGTACACAGGTGTTTGGGAGTAGTACACTGTATGTGAATAAAAGCTGAATGAAGCGTTTGTGGCTCCAAGAGGAGAAGTGACGTCAAAAAAAATCTGGGCGGTGTGGAGTTAGAAAGAAAGTGAAATGTTTTAGTCATTTTACTCTTGTGTGAATCTGCCATGTTTGTAATTTGTCATGTAAAAATTCCTGCGTAAATTACCTACCAGACTTTAGTTAAACAGAAGCTCTAATATTAGAACTCACGTGCAAATTGGACTTCAGGAGTAATGTGTGTTTTGCATGCGATTTCCTGTCCTCCTGGGCATCCTCTTCCTCCTGCAAACGAGACAGTGGTGGAATTTATAGGGAAAGGTTTCGCAAGCATTTTCAGTGCAATCAGCAAGCTTTGCTTCGTTTAATCAAGGAAGTGACAAATTGTTAAATCATCTGCAAAAAAACTGAGGCTGGATAATTAGGTTTTTTTTTTTAAATAAATGCCACACATAAAAAGCTCCTCAAGTTTGTGTGTCCCCTCCCTGCAAATCAAAACATGTTGTAACTTCATAAACCTGCTGTGTGTTAGCTTCAGTCCAGTGTGATCGTTGTAGCTTGATCAAGAGCGAGGGAGAGAGAAAGAGTGGGAGAGAGAGGGAGAGGAAAAATGAGCCTGCCAGTGGTTAATTGAGCATACAGATTCCTAATGTGTCAGGCGGTGGCCTCGCAGATGAGGGATGGCACTTTTTTACGATGCATCTTCCTTTGTTTCCTCTTTAAGGCTAATGAAGTCGGCCTTCCAGTCGCCACCTGGGCCAGACACTCAGACACCAGAGACACTCTCACATCCCATTCACAAAGTCTAACAGCGAGTCATCATCTTCTATACCCCCCCCCCCCCCCCCCCCNCCCCCCACCCCCACCCTCCACCCTCTACCCTCAGCTCGCCCAAAGACAAACACACAAATGCAATGACACATGCACAGCCATGCATGTACACATACTGTATGAGAATGCACACACGCACACACACGTGGGGTTATTCGCTGGACATTTGGGATAAACTCACACTCTGGGCTGATGTTTACAGCATATTCATTATCAAAGCCGCAGACCTGTTTATTTTTACTGTCTCAAAACAGCAAGCATCCATTATCCAAAGATTTTTTTTTTTGTCTTTTCCTTCATGCCTTTAGGTCACCCACTAATGAGCTTAACACTGAGGAAACGTGGAAGCGATTAGACGAGGCTTGGCTGTTTGAACAACGGGGTGATGATATTGTACCTTATGATTACACGCATTTATATCAACAGAAACAAGAGAGGACAAGAGGCAGCCTAGAAGGTCTGTAGCTTTTCACAGCTATATCTAGTTGGGGGACTTCACATGGGTTTTCCTGCGTGTGAGCAACTAGTGAGTGATGTTCACTGTTGTTGGCAGCCTCGCACTTCCTTCCTTATCCTTGTTCTGCTTTAGCAAGGTGAGCCTAAACCTCCTTCAGCGCCTCTGTCTCTTTCGCTGTGGCAGCTTGGGCCAAGTAGTTCTGGTCACCCAAACATGTTCAAGGTGCTCCATGACCATATGTTTGCTCATTGGGGAGCGGAGCAGGGAAGGGCTGGACTCTATGACCTTCACCCAGGTTGAGCAATGAATACTCCAGGCTCCGCTCACTTGGGTTCATGCCAGGTGAACACAGTAGTCGGGCATCCCAGACATGCACCCGGAGCCCAGCAAGCATTTGACGGCTGCAGACACACAGAAGGTGGAGAATGAGAATGGGAAGGTGGGGCGTTGTTAGGTTTTTAAGGAGGAAACTTTTAGTTCTCTGCTCTGTGGTGTCCCAGTTTGTCCAAACTGGTGTTTAATGGCTGGTAGAATATTGTAAACCTGCAGAGGGCCATCAGACAGGCCTTCACTTGATGTTAAAATGAGTTGGAATATGCTCATATGTGTGTTGGGATGCTGTAAGTGCCACAATCAGAGCACAAAATGTTAAGCATTAAAAACATTTTTTGGGTTGATTCTATGCAACGACAAAATATTTTTATGCCATATATATTGCGGTTTTCACACCACTAACATCCACTGTATGTCTGCTGTTTCAGTTGTGAGATGATATGCTGTGCATGGTACACATTACTGTCACGGCACATTTCCTCAACTGTAAATCAAATTCAACTTCCATTTTCACTTGTTATATTATATCAATTCCCCATTTAGTAATATTCATCCACGGTAATTTCCAACAGTAACAGAAGCAGTATAAATACCTAAAATGGCAGCAACGGTTCCCTGTTTTAGTTCTGTTAGGGTGGAGGCAAAAGTGTTGTGGTTTTACAAGCATTCGGTGCCAGGAATATAATAATAATCAGTTACTTTTAGTTTCAGTTTTAGTACATTTACAGTCAGAGTCAGAGCCAAAAATAACAATATGTAAATGTTTAAAAATGCAATAATTAATCTTAATAATTTAAAGTAAATACTGTGTTTCACAAATACTAAGTTAAGTCAGGTCTATATATAGAGCACATTTAAAAACAGTGAATGCTGACTAAAATGTTGTACAAAGAGTTACAATGGAACAGGGACACAATCAAATAAAAAGAGAATATGAGTAAATTAATAAAAGCATTTAATAGCTTGATTAATTCATTAAAACATAAAAAAAACAGTGTGGTCATGGTCATGCATGTGAAGTGATAATTAAAATGTTTAGGAAAAGAGATGGGCCTACAGACAGGTTTTAAAGGTGTCAGTGGAGGGGTAAGATCTAATTGTTAGTGGCGAACTATTCCACAATTTTGGGTCAACGATTAAAATTGCTCAATCGCCTTTGGTTTGAGGGTGAGCATCACCAGATCTGAGAAGTTGGGAGGTGAACCACAGGATTAGCAGTTCAGAGATGTGACCAGGTGCCTGTCTTTGCTGTGCTTTAAAAACAAATAAATTAATCTTACAATCTTTACGTAATTGGTAACCAGTGAGGCCAGTATCAGGACAACTACAACTGAAAAAAAAACCCACACCAAATTACACATACAGTACATCCAAAAGTCAATTCTCTATAGTCTAAAAATATATAAACAGAATTTAGGATCACAGTTTTTGATATTTTTGATATAAATAATTTTATTAACTTTTTTTCTGCACTTATTTTCATTTCAGTCCACTCAGAGGCCACATAAGAGCATTAGTTAAATTTCATGGCTCCCAAATGGAGTTGCCTTCCCCTGCTTATTTCAATTAATTGTTTAGTTTTAACCTCTTTTAACACAAATTCCGTCCTGAATTATGGCATGTGCATGGGTGCAAAATAAGCAACAGATTAAACCTGTGCTGATAACTCAAAATGCCTCCGTAGTCGAGTCAACAAGGGATCTTTATGGGGAGGGAAAGGGCTGAAGGAAAACGCCATTACTCTCCAGATAATTTAAACATGTGTTGGCATTTATCTTGGTGGTCCATGTCCGAACACTAATGACAAACTCTTGTTATTAGTGGACTGAATCAATGCCAAAGGCATGCCCACCCAAAACTTTAATCCGTTAATGTTCCCCACTCTCTAATTTGGTATTACGGAAAAATACAAGAGATGCATAGGTACAGTAGTTCTTCAAAGTAGTATAAATACAGAGTAACACAACACATATTGGACATGGTGTGTTTTTTTTTTTTTTAGATCGTGCTCTCCTTCTCCTTTCGTCTCTCTTTTTTTGTACCAGTCTTCCACCATCGAACTTTATTTTCGTGGGAAGATTAAATATTTCTGCTTGAGAACACCCTTTAAACTATGAAATGACTGCTGTCACTGACACACAGACACCCCCTGTTTACACACACACACACACACACATACACACACACCACGCTCCCCTGATTTTGGATGGATAGATGGTTGGGAAGAGGAGGAAGGGAGGGGGGCTGAAATATATAATCTCCTGAAAAGAATGAGGCCCTCTGGGATTTTCTCAAAGTGGCCCCTCTTTGCACTGGGGCTGGGGGAGAGTAGTGGGTGAGTGCTGGTGGTGCGGGTGGGTGGGTGGATGGGAGGTAGGTGGGGGGGTGGGGGGTGGGGGGAGCAAAACATGGCCACTCCACACTGTAACCTGAGCCAGAAGGGGGCCAATTTGTCAAATAATTAGCTGTTGCCCAGCACAAAGGTTTTATTTGCAGGAATTTCATCGCGGCAGGATTGAATAATATGTCTGTGTATTGTGCGGGGTCATGGGAACATCATCTCTTACTGGTGGGCCATAAAAGACGGCTAAATGATAATGAGAAAAGGCTCTGGTAATTCAATTCCTCAAGCGTTGGTTTCCATCTTTCTCTCCCCTCCTCCTCCTCCTCCTTGTCCTCCTCTCCCCCCTTTTCTCTCAGTCTTTCTGTTCTTTCTCTCCTCTCAGCTAATTGCAGAACTTCTGGTTGATGTTGAAGTGGCTTTATTCAGTGTGCAGGAAACACACACGGTCATGTATGGTTTCTTAAAAGGAAAATGTTTGCAGATAATTACATCTTTTGTCTAATTTATTGTTATTTGGTATAGAATGCACTGATGAACGGGAAACCAGTTGCCTTTCAAGGTTCTGATGTTTTATTGTGCAAGGTGGCAACAGTAATAAAATAAGCCGGCACAGAAAGAGAGAAATCCTCTTTCACAGATAAAAGTTTTATTTAAATACCTTTGATATTTCACTGGTGCATCTCTTGCTAAACCATAAATATATAATCAGTAGTATGTGTGTCCCACTCTCAAACCCACTGGCTCAGTTGTCTTTTTGCACATTGACCCCTGACCTCTGAGAGCAGCCAACCAGGAAGTGGATAGTGTTAAAAGGGATTGATTGGTTTGTGGTCTATAGATGATTGTTTATATCATTCCATACTGGAGGTTTGACCTTTGGTGACCCCTCTGCGGACCAATCCGCTGAGAGCCATGACCTGCATCCATTTGCAACAGCGCTAATTAGCTTTGACGGGCCCTCGGTTTGCATCGGGGTTGTAAAATGAAGCCCTGCAGTGCCCTGATTGAAGAAAGACGTGGCGCGGCTACTCCACTTCATACCTTCCATATCCTCCCGCCCGAATGTCAAACACATTAAACTTAATGTACCAGCAAATCTTATTCAATTATTTGTATGTTGTTGAGGTGTGTGTGCACGTGTGTGTTTATGTGCACGTCTGGTGGCCCCCCTAAATGGCATTCATATGTCAGTGTATGTTCAGCTGTCTGAGCATACTCAAGCATGCTGGTGTTTACATGTAAGAGGGGGAGAGACAGAGTTTGCCGTTTCGCTGGTATGTCCGTGCAGGATGAGGTTACACATCCTGCAACACATTGCAG